CGACCCCGAGGTAGGAGCAACCCCCGAGCCAGTCTGAGCATCCTTTTGAGCCTTCCTCGCTCTAGAAGCAAGAGTCTTGGCTATGCGCTCCTTGGTGGGATTCATTCTATCTGGAAAACAAACAAAAAGAAACATAGTCAGCAAATGAGGAGTCAAATAAACGATGACCACATACTACTATTTAAAACATAAATACCCAAGTATTTAACGGGGTCCTCGCGAATTCTATAGCAGTGAAAATCGGAGTTCAAGCTATTGATTAACTTGACTCACAAAAGCAAGAGTCGCCACCACGCTTTATTATTTCCAAGGGGAAAGGGAAAAGAGAGAAATAAAACCCTTAAATATGCAATGTAAAGTAATACTTAAAAGTAATGAAAATACAATGCATTTTTTGAAAGAGATCTAAAGTTCGAGGGTTGGTTATACAATGAGAAGATACTAGCACCCAATGCATCTGCGGTACTCCACATGAACCTTTTGAAATATTTGTTTTTGGTTAAAATTGTTTGTTTGGTTAAAATGGTCTGTTTGGCTAAAAATGGGTGTGGACGAGGTTTTGAAGATGCGACGACCTAATGTCGAAGTTTTGACTTAAAAGGTGTGAGTTTTAAAATTGAGTTTTTTTAGGAAAATTAACTTAAGTTTAGCAAAATAGTAAAATAAAAAAGAATGAAGGGGTTCACTCAATCGTAACAAATATATTTGATGACATGAAGTCAACAAAGTTAAAATATTTCTCTTGGATTTGGTGTAAACAATTTAAATGCTTAAATAATAAACAAAATAAAATAAAGACAAAATCAAAATTCTAAAATTACTAAATCAAATATAAACTAAATTAATTACTAAATTAAAATTATTAAATTATTAAATTGAGCCTAAATTAAATCAAAATTCTAAATTTGTACAAATATTTCTAAACTAACTAAAATTCCAAATTTACTAAATTAAATCTAAGGCAAATAAAAATTCTAAAAATCACTGAATCAAATCTAAAATAAACAAAGTTCTAAAGTCTAAACTAAATTTAAGCTAACTGTTGTACCCCAAAATTTGCCCTCTCATTTCTCAAGGATTCTCTCACAAGATCTTCTATGACGTCAAGTTTGCAGCACTGATACATCAATTTAGGCTTGGAATTGGCACAAGGGCAAAATGGTCATTTGTACACTGAAAAGTCAAACTTTGACTTTTGATCAAAATCAAGTCTCAAGAATCATATTTAATCAAGACATGTTGAAATATGAAGTTTGTTTCATCAAGAAATTCAAAAGTCAAAATTCTAAAATACTTAGAATTTTTCTAAGTGTTTAAGAAATATGACAAACTCAGAACTTCTAATCAGATTATCACCATGATGCAAGCTGATTCTGGAAGAATTTCTAACACAAGAGTTTTAGATCTCAATAAGACCTAAAATATTGCAGAACAGAAATTCTCATGGAAATGCTGGAATTTCAAGTTATAAATGTTCAAAGACACGTCCATGAAATTGAAGCACTCAGCAAATTCTGGACACTTTCAAGACAGATTTTGGTTAGAACTTCTGGTCCAGTTTTCACGAACGTTCAGCCAGAGTTTGAAAAAGTAATTCAAAGAAAGTCTATAAAGCGTTTTACAAACTTTCAGAAAAGTCCGTGAACTCCTTCAGAACATGCTGGAGCGAAAAGATTAAAGGATCAGAAGTTGGATGTTTTGTTCTAAGTTGCGCTGATGCTGAACTTCTAGCCCAAATCTAAGCTATGATGCACAATCTCATAGCCCAGGATTTCTGGTTTGATAAATCTCATCATCATTTAATGCTCACAACCACTTTTGAGTTTTTATCCAAAGGATTTCCCCACGTGTGAGATAGAAGTACCATTGATCTCCTTGAAAAGCAAACTTTTGTACAATTTTATGCTGGGCCCATGCTTTGCTTTTGCCTCTGAGGGTACTTTTCCTTAATTCAGGCTTACAAATCCGGCTTAGACACGACTAAAAGCTGCTAACCACCATACTTGTTTAACTTGCTTCAAGAACAAGCCAGCACGCTAGCATGATGTTGTTACTTTTGACTTCTCCAAGCTACAAAGATCTTGCCTATAAGTTGAACTTCATTTGACTCTAAGTAGGAGGTCGGTCGAAAAATTGAAAAAAAGAAAAAGCCTTGAAACCTTGCTAAAATCTCCATAAATTCGAAACTGCAAACACAAATACAAAACCTGTTAGTTTTTGATTCTTGCATTCAAATCCAATTTTCCTCAAGTGTTTCTTGAACAAACCATCCATATAGCTTCTGATATACATTTATAAACCATCCTAACTCCTATTTTCAGACTGTAACACATTCTCAAAAAGTCAGAACTTTGCTTCTTGACTTTTCCAGAATTTTCCAGCCATTCATAGCCCAAGATAAAGGTTGTTCCAGCCTGCTGAGCACGTGAGGAAGCTGATCAGAATGTTACAAATAGTCAGAACATTTTTCAGCTGCAAGGTAAGCTTCTGCTAACCCTCATCATATCACGTAAGCATTGTTAGACTTGCATGTTCAAAACACAATGTAGACATCCTGATTCTAATGATTGTACATATTTTGAGGTTTCATGTACTTGCCTGCCTAAGTAGGAAGAACATAGGTTCAGAACTTCTTAAGGAAACTAGAACTAGCAGATACATGTTTGTTTCTGATTTATAGTCTTGAAATTTTTTATGCTTCTGAAACCATGAGGGAAACCTGCCATAATTGCTATGTTTGTGTTTTCTGTTCTGTTGAGAAATGATTAAGTTGCAAATATTCTGATTAGCATGGAGAAAGAGATGAAGCTCATCATCAGAATTTACTTTATGTTTTATGTTTATGCCTTTGCTTCTAATATCAGATGTACAGCCACCCTAGTGGTAAAAAGCATGTGCATAATACATTAGTGCTAAGGATCCTGGGTTCTAGCCCCAAAAGCATCCTTTTTTAGGTTTATTTATTAATATTTTTTACCCATTTATCTGTCAGACGATACTCCTAAATCAGAACTTCTAGATATCCTCACCTAACAACATAATCACTTCACTCTCTCAAACAATCAGAAACTATGACTTGTTAGAGATACATAAACTTCTAGGTTCCCAACTACGCTATAGCCTCTGAACCCTCCAACCTCAGAATTTGGTGTACCCAGGCCCAGAATTTCTGACCCTCCACTTTCTCACTAACACTTTCTCTTTTGCAGCGTATCAGAGTCAGAACTTTTGTTCCCCCTCGTTTCAGTAATGTGCTGATTCTGATTCCTTTTTCTCTCACTTGTCTTATTTTTGCTTTTAATAACCAAAAATGCCAAAAATATTTCATATTCACATGCTTTATTTTATTTCTTTTAGAATAAAAAAAAAGATCAAATTTTTTTTCTTAATTAAACTTATTTCTTAACAAAAACAAAACAAGTCCATTTCAATTCTTGTCCATTATTTCAATATGGTTGTGATAGATAATTAGGACTTTAATTTCTTGCGATCCCTATTCATAAATTTGTACCCCCATCCCCTAAAGCTTTGTAATAGCTTAGTATTTTTAAATTCCGCAATTTATCGCTTTATATGCAAATACTAGTAATTAGGGTTTTGTATGGAAAGACTAAATCCAACAAAATAGCAAACTCTAATCAAAGACAAATCAAGCATGTAAATTAATACACTTGCACATAAACACCCTAGGGTAAATCCACTTGGTTGCCTTACAAAATGGAAATATTATGCATGTGAGGTATCTTAGCAAAAACAAACGAAATGCAAGATCATAGTCCCTCGATGACACTATCCATTGTTGCCTTTCAAAATGATCTTGGTCCCTAAATAAAAATGATAAGATATCTTGCAACATTTCTAATCATGGCTATACAATGACCCACACCCGTCCCTTTTACATCCAAAGATAGGGTTACTTACCAAATCAATGGTAAGATAACAATGTCAAAGGAAAGAGAAAATGAACATGAAAGACTTTTGAGTAGGTAGAATGTTCCTAGTTACTTGCTCAAATTTAAAACAAAAATATCTTGCTATTTTTAAAACAAACACCAAAAAGGCTCTTCCAAACTTGAAAACATTTTTAAAAGATCAAAAACTTTGTATACATTCTTACGAACGAGAATCATTACAAAGCTTGCTTAAACGATGGCATCTTTACAAAATACTTTCAAAAGCCACACAAAAGCACATTTTCAAACAAAAGCAAGTGATCTAACAAGTAACTAAGAGCCCATGGAAAACCATGGATGAAAAGGGTTCTAATAGCTTCCCTTTTCATAATCTACCCCCCGAACTCAAGAAAACATCTCTAAAGGTCTTTCCTGTTCTTTTCAGCCTTTCCTTTTGGATAAAAGAAAAGCCGGTGGCGACTCTTGCTAACCGCAACATTTGCAATCAAACACAAAATACCAAGTCAGTTCTCCCACCGTATCACACTAATTAAAAATTTCTAAGTTTACTGAATTAAATATAAATCAAATAAAAATTCTAAAGTTACTAATTATGATTCTAAACTAATTAAACGTTTTAAAGTTATAAAATAAATCTAAACTAATTAAATAATTCTAAATTAATACTAATTTAAGACTAAACTAAATTAATTATAAGATTTACCAATATTATTTTTTTAGAAAATAAGGCTAATGAGTTAACAAAAACGAAGAAAAAAACCCAGCAGGGGTTGAACTCGGGTTTCCTAGGTTGCTGCAAATAATGCCTTGCCAATTGAACTATATTATTTATTCGTTATGATTTAATTAGGATATAAGGGAAATACGGTTGAGTGATTAGGCCAAAAGGCCCAACGGACTGACCCGGTTTTGGGAAAGAATAGGGAAAGTTTTTTGTAACACTAACAATGCAAAATAGCACCGCGTGTAGTGTTGGGAAGGGACATGGATTAATTCATTGTTATTATTGTTCCAGTAAAATTAAAGGAATAGAAAATTGAAACAAACAACAAAAGAAAGAAATATCTTCTATCTCTCTCTCTCTCTCTATAACACCATTTTATCTTTATCCTTCCTCCTATGATCAAAATAATTCTGATACACCAATCTATCCATCAATTGAGTCCACTCCAGCCACAGATGCACCAACTCCACCTCTTTCTTCACCAATTCCACAGGCTCACTATTCATCTCTGCCTCTTCATTCGACAAAGCCGCTGTTATTGGTTCCCAAACGGGTTCCGTAATTTCGTTTTGAGAGTTTTTGGAATCAAGCCAAGCTTGAATTCGTTTAAGTGTTTCATGTTTCTGAGAATGTTCCTTTTCGATTGTGTCAATTTGATCGAAGAAGAAGATGAGATGAGCAGAGAGAGATGAAGGTTTAGGGTTTAGGTTTGTTAAGGTGAGGTTTGTTTGTTGTTCAGAAGGAGAATCAGAGCGAAGTTGGTTGACAGCAGAAGTTTGTTGATGTGTTGAAGCGGTTTGCTGATGGGGAGAGTGGCCGAAATAGGGAGGGAGTATATTATTTAAGACGGTGGAAGGGGTTTATCCGTGCTGATGCAGAAGCACTGGTGAGGTTTCAGCGTACGATTGGTTAAGGATTTTATTCTATTCTCCATACTCTACGATTTCGTATCAGGAAAGAGGTGAAAAGATGAAGAAGTTATACATACTGACCTACGTAGCCGAGGCTTGCTCTGGTGAAGGTTGTAAGATGGCGCTAAGAAGAAGATATAGAAGACCAAAGGTGAGATTCCAACTGCTCCAGTAACATATTTCTTCTATTCATTGCTTATGATTCCATTTTCTTCTTCTACATTTATGCGTTTTTATGTTTCAATGTGTTTTTGTTGAAGCAGATGGATGTTGATTGAAGTTGTAGTAGTGGTGAAGGTTGAAGAAAGATTAGGGAAATTTTTTTATTTTACAAAGTGGAGCTGTATTATTTGATTGAGTTTTAAGGGTGCATTTTGGCAGTGATTCTATGTGGTTATTGTTATGTTGAGTGAGTTTTGTAGTAAGATTAAGGGCTAGGGATTTAAGTAGTTTTAAGAGTTTTTCATGCTTATTCTTGGTGTATTCAATGACTGTGAAGAGGTTGATTTATGAGGTGAGTTTTGGGGGGAATTTTTGGTGAATTAGAAGTGATTTGGTTAACTGTCTCAATGCTTTCCAATGCAGTTTTTTATTTGCTAATTTTGTACTACATTTGGACTATTTTTGGACAGGTTTTTGGCAGATTTTGCAGTAAGAAAGTAGCAGGTTTGTGGGCAGATTTGCAGTAAGAAAGTAGCAGGTTTTGGACTATTAGAGCAGGGCTGTTTTTGGCACCAGCAATGGACAACAACAAGGCTTAACAAGGCATGGAAAATTCTGCATGAAGCACACAAGGAGGATGGTCTTGGTTTGTGTTATTTTGGGCATGCTTTTATGTAACAATAAAGTTGTAATAGTGATGATTTGGAATTGATCAAATAACTTGGATGGTTCTTGTAGTTTTGTAATCCTTTAAAGGTCAATCTTGAAATATCAAGAGAAAACTCCTAATATTTAGAATTGATTCCAATTAAAATTTGTATCGAAAGTTGTCTTTGAATTCGAAACACATGAATTATGAATGACGTTGAATTTTGAGAAAAGTCTTGAGTAGTGCTTCTTTGTAACTTGGATGAAATTAAATCAAACTTGAATGATGAACATTGAATTAGAACTTCATCCTTGAATGAATTTGAGGCTTCTTGAATAAATTTTGAATAATGAATGAACATCTTGTATTTGCTTATAGAATTCCAAACAAATTACATGAATTGATCTTCAAAATTGAGCAAACTTGCATCATGAGAAATTAGTTCTTTTGTATATCTTGAATCCAAAAGCAAATTCATATGAATGAATTGCGCCTCGCATACTTGAATTGATTTGAAATCAAAAATAATTATTCGAATTGTTCCTCAAATCTTCTTCTTTAAACCCCATATCGTCAATTCGTGGTAACTTGCAATACGAGCCAATAAAACAAATCGCGCCTTTAAAAGATTTAATCAACAATCCACCTTAATCCAATGACCGATAATATTCAATTGCAAATGACTTGAAGCAGGTGTGATATGGTGGCAGAACCGACTGTTTATACTGGTTTTGCGTTTGTGTTCGCAAATGTTGCAGTAAGCAAGAGTCGTCACCAACTTTTCTTTAATCCAAATTAAGGAAAGGGTGAAAAGAATAGAAAAAGACCTTTTTGGAGATTATTCTGAGTAAGGGGGGTAGATTATGGGAAGAGAATGTGTTAGCATCCTTTCCATCTGTAGTTATCTATGGGCTCTTAAAGGTTTGCTCATTTTTGAAATACCTTTATGCTTTGTGTATTTGAAAGTTTGTTTTGAAAATGCCATGTTATGGCAGACTTTGTAATGTTTCTCTGGAATGTGGAGAAAGTATACAAAGTGTCTTGAAAATGTTTTTGAAAATTAGTTTTTTTGTGTAAGTGCAAAGAGATTTTGAGCAAACTTCTAACAATTATCTAGTTTATACTCGAAAAGGTGTTCTTTTCCTCCTATCCTTTAGACAGTGCTATCCTACTATTAGTGAGTAGGTAGCCCTACCGTTGGATGTATGAGGGACATTCGAAGGGACGTTACAGTCACGAAGGCAATTTGTGGAGACGGTTTAGAAATTTTGTTTAGGGACTAGATCATTTACCGAAAAGGCAACTGTAGGGTCATCGATGGACTATGATCTTTTTGATTTATGGGTCTTTGCTAAAACATTTCTGCCTTATGACTATTTTATTTCTAAAGGCAACCAGAGTGAGATACCCTAGAGGTGCATATGTGCAATGTGTGTTGTGTTCAGTTATTTATGTCTTGTGTTATGTTTGCTAACATTTTGTTATTAGTCTTGTCATACATGCCTAGTTACTAGCAGTTAATATATATACAGGAAAATGTAAAGTGTGAAAAATAAACCCTGCGCTATTACACGGCTTTGGGGAGAGCGATATTTACAATGTTCAAAACTTGGGGGAAAAAAGGAAAGTGGTAAAAATCCTAATTTAATCTATTATATATTGTCAGCATATACAATAATGTAAAAATGCGAAAAATAAATAACGCGCGAAAGATTGAAAGTTTGTCTTAAAAAAAAAACTAATAAGAAGAATCTTTTTTGTTGTTTTGATTTAAGAAAAATAGTCAATTATCCTAAAGTCTATATAATAAAATTAAATTAAGAAAAATAAACTAATTTCTTTTTAGTTTTTTTTATTATGAAAAGAAAATAATTAGTCCTAAATTCTAATTCATTTTTAATTAAGAAAAAGGTTAAAGTTTCAATTAATTAATTAATTAATTAACTTAATTATTTAATTAAGAAATTTAAACCTAATTTTTTTAGTTAGATTTTTCTTTTATATTTGGTTAATTAAACAACAGAAAACAATAATAAAAAAATAAAATACATAATACAAAAAGAAAAAAATGCGAAATGGGCTTAGGCATGCAAAAGAGAAAATGGGAAATGAGTCTTTTGATTCAAGGGGGAATGATGTGCTTTCGATTCACCCCTTCTTTGGCCTCTTTTGATTGGGCTAGGAAGCTGGTGTGAGCAGCCTTTAATTGGACTCTCTTGGCCTCCTTCAATTGGGCTGGGAAGCTGGCGTGAGCAGCCTTCAATTGGACTCTCCTGGCCTCCTTCGATTGTGCTGGGAAGCAGTATGAGGATCCTTCGTTTGGACTCTTTTCTTCCTAGTTCGTTTGGACTATGAAGGGACGTGGGCCTGCAAAACAATCATGCATGTGCCTCTTTCGTTTGGGCCAGTCAGGCAATGATGGGGGGGGGGGGGGGGGGGGGCTAAGGCTTCATTTCACGCTAGTCCTTTTCTTTTTGTTTGAGTCTATACAAGGGGTTAGTTCTAACATGTATATTTAGACAAGAAAACATGCAATCAAAAAGGACAAAAATAAAAGGTGAATAGATGTTATTTATATGCCATGCTGAAACAAAAGGTACAAGGTCAAGGGGACTTACCTTGCTGGAAAATTGAACTTGTGTGGGGACTAGAGTTGCTTGATATTTTTTTGATAACTATGGTGGGTTTATGGGAAGCGTATCTCCAACGTGTATCTCCTTTTCTTTGGCTTGCAAGCATGATGCTTATATAGAGTAGGAGGAAGGGGACAAGAAGACAAAAGCTTAACTGCCATAAACAAACATTTTCAAGGCCATGAATGAAGTTTTGTAACTGTGGCCAAAGACATAGGATCTTGTCCTCTTTTTGAAATTTGAATAAATGTGGACAATTTTGGCTTTCAAATACCCCCAGTCTCTATCTTTCGATTGGACCTCCCATGCACCCTTCGAATGGGCTTTTTGTGTAGCCTTCGACTAGGCTCAAGTTGCTTCTTTCGACTGGGTCTTTAGATGGTCCTTCTGGCGTACCCTTCGAATGGGCCTTTAGTGTATCCTTCGCATGGCAATTTTGAATGGACTTTCTATGCATGCTTTGGCCCTCTTCTAATTCCTCAATCCTCGCCCTTCAATTGGACCTCTTGCATGCTTCTTCGAATGGCTCTGATTTAGCTTCTTCAAATGGCCAGTAATATGCGTCCTTCGAATGGACTTTTAGAATGCCATAGTGTAGAAATTGGGCTGTCAAAACGTAGCATGAGGGAAGTTCCTACCTTGTGCAGACAAGCATGTAGCAGGTGTTTGCCTTGTAGGTATGAAGAAAATTTTTGCCTTATGCAGGCAGGCATGCAAGCCATTTGTCCAAATGGGCCTGTGTGAAAGAAACCAAAGATTCTTCAAACGAAGGAGGCCCAGAGATGCTTCAAACGGAAGAAGCCATAGGTGCTTCAAACGAAGGAAGCCAAAAGGAGCTCCCCTTATTTTTGAATCGAAGGGAGCTATTGCAAAGGAAAATAAAGCTCAATCGTAGACTTGCAGACCAAATCTTGATTGAAGGGTGTTAAATGCCCAATCTAAGGCTAGTGAGTTAAGCTTGTATCGAAGGATTTTAAGAGCTCAATCAAAACTTGTTGTTATGCCAATCGAAGGGCACTGTTTAACTGCCAATCGAAAGACTTAACTAAGATCCCAATCGAAAGACACTTTGCTAATATTTAAAATTCCTCTTTCTTTAACCAAGTGTTTGTAACCACCATGTAAATAGAAAAATCTTAGGAAAATATGAGAGGGAAAATTTTGGGATACAACAGCTGCCCCTGTTCAATCTTCTTAAACCTGCGGATTTAGATTGGCTTGTCTGCCTTTCATGATCTGAAGGTGGAAGATGATTGAACACTAGAGTGCCCAGAAATTTGCACTCGCATGAACTAACACTGATGATTGATGATGTAAGGAAATGGGCTTACATATGCCATTTGGAAGAGATGGCAGAGAGTCGTCAAAGATGGGCTTAAAGATGCCATCCAAAGTAGATGCTGACTTCCTAAGAGGTCTCTTTGTGGGGAATTCTTGTTCTTGCTGTCTGAGGAGGACTCCACTGGGGAATGTTGATTGATGTTGTTCTCCTGCTTGAGGAAAACTTTGTGGGGAATAGAGTCTAGGAACTTCAGTTGTCCATTACTCTACTGGGGAGTTATCTCTGGAGAAATGACAGTTTGCTGTATCCTGGTTGAAGTCCAGGTTTCCAGTGATTTTCTAGGGATAATGGAATTAACCGTTACCTGGAGATGTATTAGAAAGAGCTTGTGTAGGGCTTCTTCAAGATGAGCCTGTGTTAGACTGTACCTGGATGTTGATAAGGAACCCGTGTAAGATTACTTTAGGGTGGTCATGTAGATAGTTTTCCTGTCTGGTTTCAGGTGTTAATCTACAATCATTCGTTCACAGATAGTTGTCCTTTCTGGTTTTAGGTATTAATTCGGATTTTGAAAATCTGTCGGTCGTCCAAAGATAGTTGTCCTGGCTTGTTACAGGTATTAATCTGGAACTGTGTTTTTGTTTGGTTGTTGAGATATTTGTCCTGTCTGGTTTCAGGTATTAGTCTTTGACCTTAGAGAAAGAAAGATAGTTCTCCTGGCTTGTTACATGTATTAATCTTTAATCTCTTCATGTAGATAGTTTTCTTGGCTTGTTACAGGTATTAATCTACAATCGATCATCCACAGATAGTTGTCCTGGATTGTTACAGGTATTAATCTGGAATTTGCTTTGCTGGTTACATAGACAACTTCCTTGTTTGGTTTCAGGCATTAATCTGTAGCCTGCTGATCTTGGTAAACTCGTCTTGTTTCGGGATTTCATACCACTTGGTCGTACAGATAGTTTTCCCATCTGGTTTCAGGCATTAATCTTTGACCTATTGTAAAAGTTGATAGCATTTGTCTGTTGTCTAATTTAACCTGAAAAAATAAAATCAGTTTCATGCGATTTCATGATGTATGAATTGCATGATGATCCCA